TGCAAACATTTATAACGTCATCGACAAACGACGGTGGTTCATCAACATCGATTTTTTCTGTTTTTAATATCTCATGTGTGGTAATAGCAATATTCTGTTCCACACCGTTGTCTTCATTGCTATTCTTAGCAGAAGACATATCACCGTTTTCAAACGGTTCTTCTTGCTGCTGCTTCTTTATCATGACCTGTGACTGATCTTTTGCCATAGTAAAAATAACAGAGCTCTTTTGAGCATTGTGATGAATGTTATCAGGCGCAATTTTTTCTATAAAATTAAATATATACAGACGGAATATATATTGTAACAGTTGTGAAGAAAAAAAAAGAATATGAAATAAAAATAAACTCAACATATAAGTCTCTTTTCATTTGAGCAATGAAATTGCTCATGGATATATCAAGACAAAAAAGAATGTCTCGATATAAATCGACTATGATACTTATTCGTATATGATAAAGAGAATATTCTTTATTACAGACGCTTACTCTTAATATAATATATTTCCATAGGTAATGCTGCTATATCATTAGCACGATCAGTAATCATTTCTTTAAGAAGTTGTTCACGAATTTGAGTTGTAGTTGTACCAATCTTTGAATAAGTTTTATCTTGAAAGACCAGCGTAACTTGTAAATTTCGTCGTTTTCGTGTATTTGTTGAAGTTGCTTTTGGTGGATTATTATTATTTTCGTTTTTTTCTGCTTCAGGTTTGTTATTAGTAGATGATTGATTTTGTTGCGATGATGAATCAGGTTCTTCATTTGTATGTTTGTAAAGAAAATGAAATTTATCACTTTGGTAACAAAACTAAACAAAATGAAATAATTTAGATTTAATCTAATATTAGAATTTAAAAGACAATCGCTATGAATACATTACTCATTTCGCACTATCACTGGTAGAGAGCACATTATACTAACGGTTTTTGTCCGGTTCACATCAGATTTTGGATACTTATATAACGGTAGAGAATTGTCTTTGATCTATCTGCAAACTATCTCCTTTTTATAAATCTTGCGCGTCTAATAGATTACACATCTGTCTATTTTGGTTTGCCGGTCAAGGTCAACTTTCCTGTATATAGATATATACGCTTGTTTTCTTTTCTATTGGGAAAGAAAAGGACAAACAACATGCCTTTTTATGTATATTTGTTAATGTCATTCTTAACAACAAAAACAATCTATGATAAATTTGTATCATATTAAATACATTTTTTTAGACTTGTTTTTATATTTAACAAGAAATTGTCTGAATAAACGGAAAATTTAGAAATATAACTGTTGTTTTGAAAAATATGAAAGTATTCAATTGTATAAAAATATTATTTTTTTAAACTTACATTATTATGAAAAGCTAAATGAATAGCTTGATCATAAATCGATGGTACAAAACGATTTTCATCACATAATTTTTTAACATTTTCACGGTGATTATTTTCTAATACATGTTTATAATATAATGATAATGTTCCACGCATTAAATTGCATGCTGCACATACTGGTTGTTGACGAATACGTACAACACCAACATGGCCATCCTAAAAGAAAAAAAACAAAAACAATCAATTAAATCTATGATTTAAAATCATATCGAGATAATCTACTTACATCAGAATCCTTATAACAAATGACTGAGCAATTATCATCATCATTTTGTGTTCTAAACATTGATACAAATATAAATTATTTATTTAATTATATCGCGCAATAGCCTACTTATTATTGTTATTATTATTATTAGTATTATTGTTATTATTCGTTTGTCGCGTATTTGAAAATTTTCCTCGATTTGTCATTTGATAATATTTTATCTAAAATAGAGAAAAAAACGAAACTAATCATTAAAGATAATCATTTGATCAAGTTAAAAATCGCGTAAAACAAACAATGCATGATTAGTTATACGAAAGAAAAAAAGAGTAAACAAATAAATGTTTCTAAACCTTTTTTTCTTCTTGTTCATCTAACAATAAATGCTTGAAACATATCTACACAATAAAAATGGAGGCACTAGTTTATGTTCTATTGGATAAAGTGTAATCGAATAGAAATATATATTAATTAATACTAAGAGTTTCTCATCAGTTGTAAGATTAGGCAACGAAAAAATTAATTATGCTTTCATCTCGTTTGAACAATCAATTAAAACCATCATTGGTTTTAATAATTGGTAAATTACCATTAATCGTTTCATTTTATTAATATTTCGAGTTTTTTCATAGACGAAAACTCATCGAATTCGTCATTAGGCTTTCAATTTGCTTGTGCTTATGCTGGCGAAACTGTCGATAAGTAAGATTTTTGTTTATTTTTTAAATTTAATTACAATAGAATTTTATTTAGATTTTCAAATGTTGACATTCTTTTAACTGAACATGATGAAGCAAATTGGTTTCATTCACATGTATTCGTGAAACGTAGTGAATTAACATCAAAGTAAATTTAAGATTTTTGCAATTGTTCTCAAGAAAATTTTATTTTATAGAATACATGTTATTGATATGTTTGATGATATTCATTCAACAAAAACAATAGAAGAATGTTTGAAAATAACCAATGAAAAAAAATTAATTATTGTTGAATCTCTTCCTTGGTTATTATTACGAACTTCAGAAGGAAATTTATCACGTTTATTACATAATTGGAGTGGTAAGATATTGAAATAATTTCAAGTAAAAATATATATTATTTTTTGTTATATAGAATCGAATATTGTCCTAGCTGTTATACCATTGGATTGCATGGAAGAGAATTCATTTCTTAAAAATCTTATTTCAATTTCATATATAACAATACGAATTAAAAATCTTCCAAAATCAGAAACAATCGAAGCAAGAATTGAACAACGATCACGAACAAATGTTGATACAATTAAATCTGTTTGTTATAATATTTTAAACTCCTCTTTATTAAGTTTTCTTTTTCTTTTTTCTTAGTGCTTAACATTTTCAATTGATACACAATTAAATATAATTAATTTACATGAAGAGAAAATAAGTAATCGAAAATTAAAATCTGCTTCCAATACTGATGGATTTTCTAAAGTAGTTCCATAGAATTATTTTTATTTAAGATACAAATTTTAATTAAATTTTAGTCGGATGTCACGGCCAATCTAACATTTAATCTCCGTCTGAAAGATGATGAACTTGTTGCAAAAAATAATCTTGTTTTACCATATACCAAACAACAGTAAGGTTATACTTCATATTAAATTAAATCTACTTTAAGAATTTTTCTATTTTCTAAGAACGCAAGTATCAAGTGATAGTTGTACAATACATTATTCATATGATAAAGAAGATGATATTGATGAAGATGAAGATGATGATTTGGATTTGTGATGAATATATTTTCATTTTTTTTTAATATTTCAGATAAAGTAAATTAAAATGACAGATGAAACAGTAACACCAAGTAACATTCGATCGGATTTGGTACGAAAAAGAAAATGAGATTAAATTCTTTGAATTTCCTATGTGAAAAAAAAAACTAATGCGCCTGAAAATAGACTTACCTATTGTGATGTCTATAGAAGAATTATTTTTAAAGAATTTTTCAAGAAATTTTAAAAGCTCATAGGTTGTTGGGAGAAAATCAAAGCGAGGATTAGGTCATATGTTGCTTTGATGTATTAACGTCAATCTTTATCACGAGACTTTAATTGACTTACGATGAAGCTGTTATGTTTTATTGAAAGTGATAACAGCTTTTAGTAATCTTATCTAATTAGTTGTCTTTAGTTCTCAAAAGATAACGACTTTCTTTAGACACGCTTATCCTCCCTAATCGCGCATATTTAGTTGTTACAAGTGCAAATAATAATTGTTTTTTGATGTTAGTTAATAATGTTACACCATAGAAATTTTTCAACAAAAAACAAACTTCTATTGGAATTATAATCGATAACAAACAATAATAATCTTTGCCAACATTGAATCATTTCTATGTCAACTTTGACCGTGTTTTTTTTCGGAAGCAATTTCGAATATACTAGAAACATTATTTAAACTATTGAAAACTAGAGATGTGCAAGGTCATCTTATTCTGCAGAAAAGAAGCCGTTCGGTCCAAACTTTTTGGGAATCATATCCGAATCCAGTTAAAAGAAAAATTTCAAATTCGCAGACTCCACTGCAAGGTAGGTTAGTGGTGAGAGTTAAAAAAATTTTCTCGGTCAAGATACAGAATACTAAAAAAGCTTACTTAGCATATTTTTAATTAAAATCGCAATCGAGTTTACTTAAAAATTCAATAACTCGATAAGAGAATATTTTTGTAGGCAGAAACTTTCGGAATATTATAAGAGTGATTAGATCTATCTGTGAGCTGATTTTCAGGTCGAAAATTCAGTAAAACGTTCATACTGAGGTTTCATTGTAAGTTCAAATGGCGAGTTACAGTTCGGTTAGGTCTCTTATTATCATAATTAATAATTTCATAAAATATTGTTTGCTTAACCTAAAGTAATTGACATGTTCTAGGTTGATACAGCGATTGGTTTTTTAAAGAATTCAAAAGTTGCTAGTGAACCAATTGATAAAAAACGTGATTTTTTACTAAAGAAGGGTAAAATTGATTTGTAGAATGTTTTAAATCATTTATAAACTTGTTTAAATTTTTCTAGGACTTACTGATAATGAAATAGATTATGCATTCAAAATCATACCACAAAACCAAGGTTCGATACTAATTTCGAATGAATTAAGTCTGTGATTTTTTTACTTTTTTTTTTTATAGAAACACCTAAAGAAGTCGTTTCTAGTCCTCAACCATCATTTCTTCGTCGATTTTTGTCTGATTTAATCTTAGCCGGAATCCTCGGATACGCATTAAAAATTATTAAACATTGGTTTCAATCTGTACGATAAAAAAAAACACGCCTTTTCTATTTAAAAAAGTAACTTTTCTATATTCTTTTTACAACAGAAACAATCGATAAAACCCAATGAATTAGATGAAACAATCAAAAATCTTCAAAAAACAGTACAAGATATGCAAACAAGTATTAATAAACTTGAACAAGCAGCTGATCAAATTAATTCAGCTTCGAATTCATCAACTACCAATGGATCATCATCATCATCACCATTAGAAGAAATCAAACGTGAAATTCAAACATTAAAAGGCTTATATTTAAGTCGTTCTCAATTTCCATCGATTCCACAAGTACCTCCAAAAATTCCATCATGGCAATTAGATGCCGCAGAAGTAAATTAAAATTTGAAATTAATCAGTTTGAAATTCTTCTTTTCTAGAAATTGAAAGCTCGTACATCACCAATTACTGAAGAAACAAATACTAATAAAACAAATGATGACAATAAAGAAGATGGTGATAGTATTATTTTAGTTTCTGAAAACGAAAAAAAAAGTGATGATGAAAATCCTTTATCACTAAGTCCATCATCAGAATCATCAAATGATGCATAACGTTTTTTTTTTAAATAAATTCTTGTATTTTTTGAATTTTTGTGATTATTTGCCATATTTAAATCTTGACTATCATAAAATAAAAGCCCTCGAATTATTTATAGTTTTAGATCGAAGATGCCTATCGAACGTGGTCTTCAATATTTAAGACAAATGCAAAGAGTTACTTTAAAAAATCTACCTATGCCTTTGGAAAAAACAGAAAAATGGAAAAAAGCTCATGTAATAAAAAACAAAAAAAAATCATTTATCTCATAGAAAAAATTTCTTTTTTTTTCTCATTGAAATTTTTAGCCTGACGAAAATACAATCAAAGCAGTTATGAGTAAAAAGGGTCCAATATCAAGAAGTTCATTACCACCATATGGTATAGATCCAATTCAAGCTGAAGGACGTTTACCATGGATATTAACTGTACCGAAAGAACCTTATTATGAAGGTGTAGAGTATGTTTAATGAATTTTTACTTTTGATATTATTCTTGTATGTACATATATTTAGAGAAGCAAGACAATATTTACCAATATCATTACGTACTCTTCAACGTTTAATTGATCTACGTAGAGTTAATCCAGAAAAACCAATTGATTTACCTGTACTTTGTAATACAAAATTATTTTCTATTCAACCTGATCAAAGGCAATTTGGTTTACAATTGACTGATGAAGTAAAAAAATTATTTGATTTTTTTCTATTTCTAATATCTGAATGAAAATAAAGATTATATTTTCACACGACTGAGTACGCAACTATTTGCTTGATTTAACAGATAGAAATCTTAAAAAAAAGACTTTTAATCGATGCAATATATTAGATATATTGCATCCAGAAAGGAAAGAAAAACTATTTCAACATATGATTTTTCATGTAGTAAAATTTAGAAAATCTTCATAGTAAACACAAAATGAAAAACTAAATAATAATAAAATAATACGCAATGTTTCATCCAGTATGAAGGGTACGCCTATAGACGGATCTTGGATTTATATGATTAGAGACGGAGATTGCTTCCGTCAAGATGAGACACGATAATCATCATAAAACATGTTTTGAAGCTTAGTAGAAATAGTATCTGCTCATTTTAAAATCTTTTCCGTTAGAAACAAGCGAGAAAATTCTTTTGAGAGAGGGACGATCCCACTCTGAATTCTGTCAGTGGTCATACCGCCTTAGAATTCAGAACTATTGTCCCATATATGATGTGTTTACCTTTCTGAAGTTTTGAGCTACACCTCCGGAAATGAAAGTTTGGACAAAATATAGGTAATGCATTCATTAAAAAAAGGTTACTCGAAAGGCGCATTCATTTGAGATCGATGTAGACAGCGGCAACTCCCCCTCAATCTTGAAAACTTTTTCTTTTTCTCCAGCTTTTTTTGCTCACTAATTTCGAAAAAGATGCACACCCTTCCCTCTCCTTCAAACCTAGTGGCCTTGAAACATCCTTGAATATACATCTTCGATGATAAACCATGATTAAAAGTCTATTTCATTGTATTCTTAGATGATTAATAAGTGAGTAAATTCATCAACACTTAGACTTATTCAAGTAGCAATCTCTTTCATTATGTCTAATAATACTTACATAATAAGAAGCTATATTAATATAAAAGCGTGATTATCACATTAGAATTTTTTTCTTTTCTATAAAATAAATTTTATTTATATCTATTTATTTAGGGTGCTGATATATTTTCTACTCCGATTAATCTTGAAATTCAATGGATATCAAGTGAATTAGCAATAGCTGCTATTGAACGATGTGGTGGTGTTTTAACAACACGATATTTTGATCCAGTATCTTTATCAGCATTAGTTGATGCAAAAAAATTTTTTGAACTTGGTGAACCAATTCCACGTTGCGATACACCACCAATAAATGCAATTGAATATTATACAGATCCAAAACAACGTGGTTATTTAGCAAATCCAGATTTAATACGTGAAGAACGTCAACGTTTAGCACAAAAATATGGTTATAAATTACCAGATCCATCGAAATTATCTCAATTATTTCGTTTACGTAAAGATCCAAGACAAATATTTTATGGTCTTGAACCTGGTTGGTTAGTTAATCTCAAAGATCAAACAATACTTAAACCAACAGACAAAAAATTTCAAACATTCTATCATTCTTGAAACAAATTAAAAAACATTTATATATCTGGCAATGTTCTAATAAACAACTAATTGTGTAGAGCAAAATAAAAATTGGCAAAGGAGAGAAAGAGAAATAGATAAAGCTGTACAACATATATAATATGTTCGAAAAACAAACATATAATCTGACTGATGTCCTTATTTTTTCTTAGTTTAATTTTAAAGACATCAACAAGTATATTACACTTCAAATTCATCCGTCCATTCAACACTATTTCCAAGTAATTTATTGACTTTATTCCATTCACGTTCTCGTTCATATTGTGGATCGAGGTTAAACCGTACTTTAGGTTTAAGAGAATTCATTGTTGTTGTTGTTAGTGGTGGTTGTTCATCAATACTATCAATTGATTTATTACTTGTAATTTTCATAATTGATGGTGGTAATGGTCGATTTATTGGTTGTGGTTGTGTTTGTGTTGTAACAAGTGCTGATAAAAGGTCATCTTCTTGTAATATAAATATATTACGATCATTTGCACTCCATAAATTATTATTATTTGTTAGTTCTTGTTTTTGTGATAATTCAAATTCATGTACAAGATCAATTTCACCATTATCAGCACTTTCATCAGATACATTATCATTTGTTGAACTTTCTTGTGTATCATCTTCTTCGTATATAGTTTGAGGATGTTGTTGTTGTTGTTGTTGTTGTTGCTGTTGTGTTGATAAGATAATATCACTTGTTGTTGATGTACGAAAGGGCGGAGAACGTATTGGAATTTGTATTGATTCATTACTTGCTGAAGCAAATTTTTCTAATAATGATTCATCATTTGTATGATCAAGAGCTAAAAAAAATACAAAAAAGATGAGAAAAATCATTTTGTACTGTTTTATTTTTAGTAACTATTTTAAATACATACAAAGTTTTTTAATTGGTATTGAGATAAGATCATTATTATGATTGATTTGTTCCGCTGATTGAATGGACGGATTAAATAATGATCGATGTATAACAATTGGTTTTTGTAATTCTTTTAATTTATATTCATGTATAGAATATTTTTGTTGATTTAATAATATATTATTATTATTGTTATTATTATTATTATCATCATCTTCATCACACGACGTTTCAGATAATGTTTGATCAATAGATGATGATAATTTATTTATTTGTTGTACATCAAAATGTTTGATTTCAATATCAGGTGATGAACCAACATTTGGAAAACATTCTTTTTTATTATTATTGTTATTATTAAATTTATGACGATGTTTTGGTATAGTCATATCCCAAAAGTGATCATCAACTGGTGACGACATTGGAAGAAAATCATCATCAACAAGAACACCGGATGGTTTTGTATCATCATCAAATTCAAGACTATTAGAACTTCGCACTGATGTTAGAGTAGCAATAGATGATGATGATGTTTCATAAATAGTTCCAGGGTTGGTAAGAGTAATAGGTCGAATAAGCTCACGTCTATTATTATTAATAATTGATTGAAAATCCATTGAACGTGAATGTCCATTTGTTATTATTGTTGTGGGACGTGCAATAGAATTGTCTGATGTATAATTATGTTTTGAATGTTGAGATGGAATTGTAATAGGTGCTGAAGAATTACGTATTGTTTGACGATAGTCACCCTTTTGTAAGAGAAAACAAAATAAAATATTACTTCTGCATATTTAATCCAACTTAATAATTTCACCTATATTACTAGTCTTTTGTTTTTTTGCTTTATAGATAGTCAAAAGAATTCAATGTATTTAGAGCGGAACTTATTTAAATAATACATAAGTAAATCTCGGATATAATATTTTATATTGATATAGAAAACATTTTCTATTTTCTTCTTCTTTTTTTTGTAATATAGAATAGATATATTCTAATAGAAAACTAATAGACTTACTGTTTCCAGTTCAGATGATATATTTTTCACCGGTTTAAATACTGTTGGTTGTTGTTGAATTGTTTGCGGACTTTGTTTAGTTATATTATTATTGGTACTATTGAGTATATTCAAATCTGAATAAGTACCATTTTTTAACATATCAGAATCTAGACGATCAATATATGACTTAATTTCATCATTGTTATTATATTTTGAACGAACGTAATCATCAAATTGTTCAATAGCACTCGTTATTAGATGACTACATGGTTGATGACCATTTATACGATCAATACTTTCCACAGGTGACGTCACTGTTGTTGTGCTCGAAGCACTATCATCAATGAAGCGAAAACGTTCAATTTTTTGCATGAAATCTTTCCGATAAGATGAAATTGAAGATGATTTTATTGGCGTTATACTCGAAGACTTTTTCTTTAATTGATTTTTTGAAATCAATGGTTTAGTTTTTAATAATGATGTTCGATCACTACTATCTGAATCAGCTGTACTTGATTGATTATTATTATTATTATTATTATTATTATAAGTTGGAAGAGAAATATTAGGTGGAGATATTGTTAGCTGAGTTTGATTCGTTGAATCAATTAATGGACTAACTATTTGTGATTGTTTAGCAAAAGAATTACGACGAAGTGCCGATGATAGTGAAATTCGGCGACGAGATTTCAGTTCGACACGAGTACGATTTTTATTATCGTCACCGGCACTTTGACTACCAGCGGCAGTTGTAACTGTCGATGAGGAAAAAAGCGGATGTGAGTTTGAAGAACGTGCAATGGGTAAAAGAGCATTGAGCGAATATTTGCGAGTATTACGGTCCGTTGAATCCTTAACAGTAGAAGCAAGTTCCGATGTTAGCAGTGGCGTTTGATCATCACACTAGAAAAAGAGAAAAAAGATGAATCAAAAAAAGAAAAAAAGGAAAAGAAGAAGAAGAAGAAGAAGAAGAAGAAATGAAGAAAATGAATAGGATGATCATTTTTTTATTACTACTTTAAAATGAATCGACCTGTATTTATTCAAGTACCTACCATATCATCTTCGTTTGATCTCGTTATTTCATTTCCAGGTGATGATAATGTCAGTAATATGGATTCTGAAACTACTTTTGTCGGTGTTATTTCCGCTTCCACTGATATCTCATCATCTTTTTTTTCTAGTTTCGTATTCTGAAGGGAAGTCTCAAAATTCTGATGTTGCTCATGAAAATGATTAGCATCGTTGTCTTGTAAATATTCACTACTGTGCACCACCGGCGTTGTTGATATTCTATGATTTGTCCTTGGAGCCACTTCGAATCGCTGTGATGATTCGATGATGTTGTTTTCAGTTGTGATAATAGCAGCAGGAGTAATATTAATTTGTTGCTGATTATTTTTTAATGTTTTATGTCTATTTGATTGTGGACGATTATGATGATGAGAATGATGATGATGAGAACGATGATGATTTCGTGTTGTTATACAAGGTAAACAAAATTTACGAAGTGTTGGTGACGACACTTTGATACACCTATTTGATGTTGTATGTCGTCGTTGTCGCTGATCATGCACGTGAAAAACAAGTGAATAACGAACTGTATTTGGACGACACAATATATGTGGTGGAACCGTGCAGAGGATCAAACGACGTGATTGACAATGAATAGAAAGAATTGTTAAAGAAGAAAAGGACACACGTATAATAACAGGTAGTTTATCTTAAAAATGATAACATCAATGCCAATGTGCACATAATCCAAACATGTCAATTGACTCGACAACGTTCAACTGTTTTCTATTCGGCTCGTCGAACGACATTCTTTTTTTGTATTCGCATTCTTTTTCATTAACATGACAGCAAGAATCTTTTCTCGTCCTTTACGCTCTCATGGTATTCTCTGTTCTATTTATGATATTTGTTTCTGTTGGTTGGTAGAGTGAGCGAGCATAGAAACAGCAACATTAACTACGAGCGAACGAGAGAAAGAAAGAGCTCAAACAAGAGAAAAGCATGTTCCCTCCCTTCTTCTCTTTCTCTTTCTTCTTCTTCTTCTTCTTCTTCTTCTTCTTCTTCTTCTTCTTCTTCTTCTTCTTTATCATCTTCATCTTCATCTTCATCTTCTTCGAGTTTGCTGACTTACTGGCCGCCTAGACATCGCTCATATGCATCATCATCATCATCATCATCATCAAAAACGACTCGTCGTTCTTTCTATTTGTAATAGCACTCGTATTGGTAGTAGTAGTAGTAGTAGTAGTAGTAGTAGTAGGAATAGCAGATAGATTCAATTTGCATTAACGAAATCATAAGCCTGCCTGAGCACACACTGTCGGTGATGACACAGAGCACATGCATGCATCTGTGTCAATGTTATCTACAACTATGCGATGAAAGCGACAGTAACACTAAATCCTTTCTATACTTTGATGCTTTTGATGTTGTCAGTGATGGATATATAGCTTTTGCAACTGACAGTTGATTCTCTTTATAAAAATCTGATCTGCCTATGTTAAGAACAAGGCAAAAAGTCTTCAAGAAAATAGCTATATAGTTTGCAAACCTATTCAATTATTTCAATATAATATCTTTATTATAGTTGGAACTTATATTTAGTCACTAAATCGAATTTTGATAACTTGTCAGAAAAAAAGAAATAGAAAAAGAATTGGTGTCAAAATGACTTTCTTCTTTTTTTATGTTTCTTTTTTTTTCTTTGTGTGTGTGTGTGTGTGTGCGTTTTGTTGCTACTACCGCGCGTTTTCATCTTTATGAGTGCACATAAACGAGTTTGCGTATAACTACTTGCTTTCTTGCATGCACGCACAGGAAATTGATTTTCGTCCCTAGACGAATTGATGTCGTTATTCTGTGTATATCTATGTGTTAAACACACACTAACAAATAACGGTGAACGGACTTCTTGGCATTTATTCATCAATACAGCATACATAGAAATATATATATACATGTATATACATATATATATACAAAACGTGTGTCGATAAACATCATAGAAAATGTTCTTATTTGCGTTCATCTTTGTCTAGTTATCTGTTCTGTAAAGATTGACAGTCCCGACATTTGTTTAATCGGTCGATGTTAGCCGAAAAAGAGCACTCTATG